AAGGGGTTGAGTGGGCGGGGCTTAAAGGGAAACGGAACTTGAGCGGTGAAGTGGGCGTGGCTTAAGCAGCAAGGAGGTGGGGTTTAAAGGAGAAATGGGCGTGGCTCAATAACAGTGGGCGTGGCTTGTGGGTAAAAGGGGCGTGGTTTGATCGGTGGGCGTGGCCTGAGTGGGCGTGTCCCGCAGGAGGAAGAGGAGGAGGAGGAAGAGGAGGAGCGAGGCCAAGGGGGCGGAGCCAAAGCCCCGGGGTTGGGGGGAGGGCGGCGCTACGTCCCGCCCCGGCTGGTGCCCGTCAGCTGCGGTGAGACCCCCAAAAAACAGCCAAAAATGCCCAAAATGAACCAAAATCGGCAGAATTCGACCCAAAATCTGAAAAATTCCACCCAAAATTACCCAAAAACAGCCAAAATGAACCAAAATCCACCCAAAAACACCCAAAATGAACCAAAATCGGCAAAATTCCACCCAAAATATGAAAAATTCCACCGAAAATTACCCAAAATGAACCAAAATCCACCCAAAACTAACCAAAATGAAACAAAACCCACCCAAAATGAACCAAAATCGGCAGAATTCAACCCAAAATTACCCCAAAACACCCAAAAACACCGAAAATGAACCAAAATCCACCCAAAAACAGCCAAAATGAACCAAAATTGGCAGAATTCAACCCAAAATCTGAAAAATTCCACCCAAAATCTGAAAAATTCCACCCAAAACTGCCCAAAATCGGCTCAAAATTACCCAAAATCCACCCAAATCCACCCAAAATGAACCAAAATCGGCCAAATTCCACCCAAAATCTAAAAAATTCGTCCCAAAATCACCCAAAATGACCCAAAATCACCCAAAATGAACCAAAATCGGCCAAATTCGACCGAAAATCTGAAAAATTCCACCCAAAATTACCCAAAATCGGCTCAAAATTACCCAAAATCCACCCAAATCCACCCAAATCCACCCAAAATCCACCAAAAATCACCCAAAAACAGCCAAAATGAACCAAAATCCACCCAAAAACACCCAAAATGAACCAAAATCGGCAAAATTCCACCCAAAATATGAAAAATTCCACCGAAAATTACCCAAAATGAACCAAAATCCACCCAAAACTAACCAAAATGAAACAAAACCCACCCAAAATGAACCAAAATCGGCAGAATTCAACCCAAAATTACCCCAAAACACCCAAAAACACCGAAAATGAACCAAAATCCACCCAAAAACAGCCAAAATGAACCAAAATTGGCAGAATTCAACCCAAAATCTGAAAAATTCCACCCAAAATCTGAAAAATTCCACCCAAAACTGCCCAAAATCGGCTCAAAATTACCCAAAATCCACCCAAATCCACCCAAAATGAACCAAAATCGGCCAAATTCCACCCAAAATCTAAAAAATTCGTCCCAAAATCACCCAAAATGACCCAAAATCACCCAAAATGAACCAAAATCGGCCAAATTCGACCGAAAATCTGAAAAATTCCACCCAAAATTACCCAAAATCGGCTCAAAATTACCCAAAATCCACCCAAATCCACCCAAATCCACCCAAAATGAACCAAAATCGGCCAAATTCGACCCAAAATCTCCAGAAATCGACCCAAAATCACCCAAAAACAGCCAAAAATACCCAAAATGAACCAAAATCACCCAAAATCCACCCAAAATTGGCCAAAATCTCCAGAAATTGACCCAAAATCAGCCCAAAATCTGTAAAAATTGACCCAAAATGACCCAAAACTGACCCAAATCTGACCCAAAATCGTCGGAATTTGACCCAAAATCCCAAATTTTCACCCAAAACTCCTTAAAAATTCAATTTTTTTCCCCAAAAATTCACATTTTACCCCAAAAATCCCAAATTTTATCCCAAAAAATCCCAAATTTATCCCCAAAAAATCCCAATTTTCACCCAAAATTCCCAATTTTAATCCCAAAAATCCCAATTTTCACCCAAAACTCCCCAAAAATTCACATTTTTTCCCCAAAAATTCGCATTTTATCCCAAAAAAATCCCAATTTTACCCAAAGAAATCCCAATTTTTATCCCAAAAATCCCAGATTTTCACCCAAAATTCCACATTTTCCACCCAAAAATCCCAAATTTAATCCCAAAAATTCCAAATTTTATCCCAAAATTCCCAAATTTAATCCCAAAAATCCCAAATTTAATCCAAAAAATCCCCAAAAATTCACATTTTAGCCCCAAAAATCCCAATTTTTTCCCAAAAATTCACATTTTATTACAAAAAATCCCAATTTTCACCCAAAATTCCCAATTTTAATCCCAAAAGTCCCAATTTTTACCCCAAAACTCCCCAAAAATTCACATTTTATCCCCAAAAATTCGCATTTTATCCAAAAAAATCCCAATTTTAATCCCAAAAACCCCAATTTTTTCCCCAAAAATTCACATTTTAACCCCAAAACTCCCAAATTTTATCCCAAAACTCCCCAAAAATCCCCATTTTTTCCCAAAATCCCCGTTTTTCACCCCAATTTTTAACCCTTTCCCGTTCCAGATCCGGCTCCGGATCCCGAATCCCGATCCCGCTCCCGGCTCCGGCTCCGGGCTTTGAGCTCGGCAATCCCAAAATGCCCAATTTTAACCCCAAAAATCCCAAATTTATCCCCAAAAATCCCAAATTTCCACCCAAAATTCCACATTTTCCACCCAAAATCCCCATTTTTTCCCAAAATCCCCGTTTTTCACCCCAATTTTTAACCCTTTCCCGTTCCAGATCCGGCTCCGGATCCCGAATCCCGATCCCGCTCCCGGCTCCGGCTCCGGGCTTTGAGCTCGGCCGCGCTCCGGGAGCTGCGCCAGGAGTTGGGGGAGGGGCCCCTGGAGGAGGGGGCGGGGCTGCAGCCCCCGCAGCGCCAGGAGATCCAGAGGTGCGGAAAATTCCGGAAAATCCCGGGAAAAATCCGGGAAAAATGCGGGGGAAATGCGGGAAAAATGCGGGGAAAATCCGGAGGAAATTTGGGAATTTTTGGGGAATTTTTGGGATTTTTTTTGGAATTTTTGGGGGAATTTTGGGGAAATTTTTGGGGATTTTTGGGGATTTTTTTGGGGGAATTTTGGGGAAATTTTTGGGAATTTTTGGGGGATTTTTTTTGAAATTTTTTGGGGATTTTTTTGGGATTTTTTGGGAATTTTGGGGAATTTTTTTTTTGGATTTTTGGGAATGTTTTGGGATTTTTTGGGGAATTTTTGGGGATTTTTTTTGGGATTTTTTGGGGATTTTTTTGGAATTTTTGGGGATTTTTTGGGGAATTTTTGAGAATATTTGGAACTTTTTTGGGAATTTTTGGGGCGATTTTGGGAATTTTTTTGGATTTGTTTTGAAATTTTTTGGGGGTTTTTTGGGAATTTTTTAGGGAATTTTTTGGGATTTTTTGGGAATTTTTGGGGAATTTTTGGGGAAATTTTGGGATTTTTTGGGGATTTTTTTTCAAATTTTTTGGGGGTTTTTTTGGGAATTTTTTGGGGAATTTTGGGAGATTTTTTTGTGATTTTTTTTGGGATTTTTTGGGATTCTTTTGGGGAATTTTTGGGAATTTTTTTGAAATTTTTTGGGGATTTTTTGGGAATTTTGGGGGATTCTTTTTGGGAACTTTTGGGAATTTTTGGGAATTTTTTACAATTTTTTGGGATTTTTTTGGGAATTTCTGGGGAATTTTTTGGGAATTTTGGGGAATTTTTGGGAGGGAATTTTTGAGAATTTTTGGAACTTTTTTGGGAATTTTTGGGCAAATTTCGGGATTTTTTGGGGTTTTTTTTAAATTTTTTTGGGATTTTTTTGGGAATTTTTGGGAATTTTTTTGGATTTTTTTTGAAATTTTTTTGGGATTTTTTGCGAATTTTTTGGGGATTTTTGGGTCAATTTTGATCCAAATTTGGTCAATTTTGGGTCAATTTTTACGGAATTTGGGTCATTTTGGGTCAATTCGACCCTCCCGGATCAGAATTTGGGGGTTTGGAGTCGGATTTTGGGTGAAATCCGGGCGATTTTGGGTCAATTTCTCCCGTTTTTAACAAAACCTGAGCAATTTCGGGGTCAATTTTGGGTGAAATTTGGTCAATTTTGGGTCAATTTTTACGGAATTTGGGTCATTTTGGGTCAATTCCGCCCTCCCGGATCAGAATTTGGGGGTTTGGAGTCGGATTTTGGGTGAAATTCAGGCGATTTTGGGTCAATTTCTCCCATTTTTAACAAAATCTCAGTCATTTCGGGGTCAATTTTGATCCAAATTTGGTCAATTTTGGGTCAATTTTTACGGAATTTGGGTCATTTTGGGTCAATTCGGCCCTCCCGGATCAGAATTTGGGGGTTTTGAGGTGGATTTTGGGTGAAATTCGGGCGATTTTGGGTCAATTTCTCCCATTTTTAACAAAACCTGAGCAATTTCGGGGTCAATTTTGGGTGAAATTTGGTCAATTTTGGGTCAATTTTCACCGAATTTGGGTCATTTTGGGTCAATTCCACCCTCCCGGATCAGAATTTGGGG